TAAAACTTCATTACAAAATTGATATTTCAGAAGAGTTTTTGAGTTGGACTTGTTTGGCATAATTTTTACTTCTTATAGAAGAACTTTTAAAAGAAATTACTTTAAAACTCATTTTTTCAGTACTCATTTTCAACAATTTTTTTTTTTTTTAATAAAGCTCCTGTTTGGTGCACATTTTTGGAAAAAGAATGCATTTTTACTATTGATGTGATGGAGAATATGTGGTTGAAAAAGAAAAAAAAGTTATTGATGTCATGAAAAATATTATTTTATTGAAAAATGTATGGTTAAAATGAGTAGATTAATGAGAATGAAAAAAATAATGTGACTCAAACAGGGCCAAAATAATTTCACACGAAAATTGAAAACTTTTCTTTATTTTTTAACCACACATTCTCCAACTTTTTACTATTCAAAAATGCATTTTCTTGAAAAAAAAANTAAAAGTTGTTTGGAGTTTTGTTTTTGGTGCCCAGAGGATGTGTTGATATTTTTCTATTTTCGTGGTTAAATCAAAGCCAGGTATTAAAACTTCATTACAAAATTGATATTTCAGAAGAGCTTTTGAGTTGGACTTGTTTGGCATAACTTTTACTTTTACTTTTACTTTTTATAGAAGAACTTTTAAAAGAAATTATCTTAAAACTCATTTTTCAGCACTCATTTTCAACCATATATTTTTTTTATAAAATAATTTCACACGTATATTGAAAATTTTTCTTTATTTTTTAACCACACATTCTCCAACTTTTTAATATTCAAAAATGTATTTTCTTGAAAAAAAAAAAAATGGAGCCCAAACAAGGGCTTAATTAGATTCATGTCGAAACAAGTAAATTGATCGATCAAACAAATGTAGATCTTACAATTCAATAGTCAAAGTTAAACAACCATAAATCCGCCGATCAAACTATCACAGAACGGACCCCGATTTTAAGGTTCAGTAGGATTAGCTTCAATCATGATCGGCAAGAGTTCGTGAAACGATAATCACAAATTCAAAAAATTATAAATGTTATCACAATTCACCGTGATAACCAAATTCAGTCCATTTTTTGTGTCCATTATTTCAAAAAAGAAGTTTTAATAATATTGTTACAGGAATGTATGGTTAAAAAGTAAAGAAAAATTTTGAGTTTACGTATGAAATATTTTACTACGTGAATGTAAGGTAAAAAATGGTTTTGTAGCAAAAGGAATTTTAAAACAAGAGATGCCAAAAAAGGGCTCAACTAACATAATGAAATCCTTAGTTTTCTTACACTAACCAGTAGTTATGACTTCATTTTATTTTATTTCACTCGAATCAAAATTAATAGCGTGCTCGCAAGAGAAAGAGAGACGAAAGCATGGTGGAAATGGAAAATATGTAAATATTTCTGGTCGAATCTCTGAAATATGTGATGGAATTCAAGAATATACAATATTTATGTTAATCGGTAACCTATTACATTTCAATTCAAGGGTAAATTCATAATGCATATTTGGTATGTCAAAATGTATAATATTTAATAGATTAAGAAAAATATACTAAAATTTGCGAGTATGAAAATTTCAGCTTAGGGGCGTTAAATGGATTGAGTAGAATCGCTTGACTCAACCACACGAGTCGACTCATTTCAAGTTGGACTTGGCGCGTCCCTCGCAACTCGGTAATATATTTCATTTTTCTTTTGTCGAAAATTGCACTTTCACATATTCGTGAACCCCGAGTTTAGCTTAATAAACGAGTTACTCATCAATTTGGTTCGGTTCGCCACACTTTCCATCCATAATTTAGCTTAGCGAACAAGATATTAGTAGAATGACATTTTGACAAGAAAATTGTCATATTCTACGTCGTATAAAACTAATTGGGTCAAATCACTTTTTAACACGACTCACAATTTTTTTTTGACAGGTTAGATAATTATTTGTATAAAATTAAATTCCATATGGACACATTTACAAGTATTTTACTTGTAGTAGATGTTGAAATTTTAAGGTAATATAAATATTAAAATATACTATGATTCGATAAGTTGTTACTCTAATATTTGCATACACATATTTTTTATTAACGAAATATAATTCATACACTAATTTATTCAACGGTAGATCCTCTCACTCGTCTAATACTTGTGTAGCTTTTATTTATTATTTCTCCACCATTTTTCTAACCCAAAAAAAAAAAAAAAAATACGCCCACTGGACACATCCGAGTTGGTGGAACAATTGCATTTGTGGGCTTGCAATCCCAGCGTGGAGAGTTCGATTTCTGGAAGGCACGAGTGTTAGAAGGGGGATTTTCTTGAAGGCAAAGCAATGACTGAAAGGCAGTTAGGAGAGCTCTCTTGTGGTCAGGAGTATAAGCGGTGCAAGAATCTAGAAGCTAACAAGGGCATAACTCGCGGTTTACCTCCTCGAGTCGTTGAGAGACCGGTGGCTAGAGGTCCAGGATTTAGTTTGCCTAAGTTGGGATACTTGTGTATCAAAAAAAAAAAAAAAAATAATAATAATAAAATATGGATTATTAAAACTTTGACTTGAACACTCACATCACCCCCCATGTGAACAAATTTCAGATATTGTATTTTATATTTGTCCCTCCACTCTGTAGAGCTTATAGATAAAAGCTCTCCACCAAACAACCTTTTTGTCACTCTTGCAACAGATTCAGAACTTTTCTTGGGCCTTCCTTTCTTCTGTCCCTACATTCACCTGAATTTTCAAGAAAGAAAAAAAAAAGGTGAGAGATTTTCTTCAGTTTTCTAATTATTTTTTTTTCAGGTTTTGTTAATTTTACTTGCATTATTTAAAATGTGAGGTTTACATATGTGGTCATGAAGCTTCTGATAAAATTTCATGTTTTCTTGGGATTTTTATTTTTATTTTTTGTTTATTTCTGTGAATTCAAATGATGATAGTTACTTATTGCAGAAATTCTGCACTTTTAGTAGAGCCCAGAAGTTTTCTTTTTCTAATTCTATGCTTGCATTTTTTCTTGAATGTATTATTTGGTACAATCTTGAATGAATTTCTACATATAATGTCATCTTTATTTTAATAATTTCATGAAATACCTTGAAGATAATGGTTTTTCCAGTGTTCTAAGCTGGGACAAAATGTCTTGCTTCACCTAGACTGTTTTTTTTTTTTTTTTTTTCCAATTTTTAACAACTTATTTTTTTCCTTCCTCTCTTTCATCTTCCTAAGCGNTTTTTTTTTTTCCAATTTTTAAACAACTTATTTTTTTTCCTTCCTCTCTTTCATCTTCCTAAGCGCATTTTATTAGTTTTTTTTCCTTTTTTTAAAATGTCTTTTATTTGACTTTAGCTTATTTATTTCTTTATTTACTTTTAAAAAACTTTTCATTTGATTTTAATTTCAAGATTTTTAATAGATTTTATCTATACAAAAGTAAAAAATGATTTTATCTAAATGTCTAAATAAGATTTAAGCTATGTTGCTATTTACGTTATGCAATTATGATCTTGAAACTTGTTATTTAGTTACAAACTCAAAAATCTCGTATGAAGTTCCTATAAATATATTAAGGCCTCGTTCGTCTTCCATTATTCCAAACATTGTTTGCTACAGTAAGATTTTCCATCTGAGTAAGTGGGTTATTTTATAAGATGTGTGTTTGGTTATTTCAATGAAATTTAAAGTTGTTGTGTAAGAGGTTTTTTATGATAAGTAATGAAGTAAAGAAGATGTTATTAGGGAGACAAACACACTCTAAGTATGACTTGTATAGTTGAAAATTGAAATTATGAAAATTATTCTAATTTTTGCATTTCAAAAATTTGAAAATTTTAAAATTGACTAATGATAGAAATTATTAAGTAAATATAGCATTTTATAATTTTAGATGTTTGATTGTATTATTTTAATTATTAAATGATTTAAAATAAAAAATAATATTAAAAATAAGAAAACGTTTTTTTACGCCCAAGCCTCGCTTAAGCTCGTGAAGTTTGAAGTTTCTTGTCTCCACGCCTAAACACGCTTTACACTTTTTAGAACACATGGGTTTTACATAAAAATGTAGCTCATAACTCATAGTAATGTATGAAGTGCATCAATTTGCTTCCAATAGTTTGATTTGGATGAAAAAATGGTCCCCATTTTTGAAATGATACAATCAAGGCTCAAGATATGTTGGCAATCCATTTGTCGAATTGAACTACTCCAGTCACTAGAGATGAAACCCATTTATTCATTTAAATTTCAGTTTCAAAACGTGCCCTAATGAGCGAATCGAATTTATGTTTTTTCAAAAGCCTTAAGACTAATATTACTCATCATCACTAATATTAAGCATCAGTCTAGATGACAATTATATAACATTAACTGACAATTCATTTATATGTACATGAAAATATTATGTTTGTTAGATATTATGTTTAGAAATGAAAATCTTGTCAGCACTAGCATGGTGTATGTTTTCTTGACTGTTTGTATATTGTAGTTTCTCGAAATACGTTTTACCATGATTATGAATATTTAATCAGTACATATTTAGGTTGAATAATTGTAAGCTATAGATGAAATCCAAATCAGTTCATGTATTTTTGGATGACTTATACATTAGATGTGTATGCCTATATTCTCATTTATATAGATATAATTTGCAGGCATTTGACTTCCTTTCTGTCAAGCGAGGTGTTAAAGTCGAATTTGCTTCCAACTCCATATAATGGCATCAGCACTGGTAAGAAACCACACTCTGTATAATTATCCTAACACGGGTTTAGCTCGTTGGAGGCTTAGTTATTCAAAGGCTATCATGTGAAAGGGTTCGACAAGAAATATGCAAATGAAATCATGGCTTGAGACTGTGGTAGTTGCTAAGAATTAGTTTCTTTAGATATTCTTGTAGATCTAGCAATATATCAGATGGATGGCGGAAAATGATTTTTTTGTTGTGATCTTTTGCTCTTTCTAATGTGATCTCGGTTCTTTTGTCTCAGGTTAAGAAAAATAAGATGAAGGGGATGGGATCTAACATGAAGAGGATGGAATCAAAAAAGTCGCACTCGTGGTGGTGGGATAGCCACATTAGTCCAAAAAACTCCAAGTGGCTACAAGATAATCTTGAAGGTATATTTATCATTGAAGTAGAAACCATGGAAATCATGGTAAATAGAGTTTTAAAACCAGAAACATAAGTTTTCAATCTTCATTAGTTAATTCTTTATGGAAATTGACTGAAATATGTTCGTCTTTGTTTTTCTGTAAGCATCAGGGAAAGAAAGATAATGCATCTGACCATCAACTGATCAAATGGACAATTTTCGATGTTGTAAACAGTTTTCATCGACTTAAAACACTTTCTCGTATTAACACTAAATTGTAAAGAGAAAATTTTAAGTTTCATCTTATTATTATTAGTTTATCTTCTATGTAGTTATTGCTAGAATTCTAGCCTATTGTAATTAGATGTCGAGCTAAAAAATTGATGTGACATGGTTTTTGATCCCAGAAATGGACCAGAAAGTCAAACTGATGTTAAAACTCATAGAAGAGGATGCAGATTCATTTGCTAAAAGGGCTGAAATGTATTATCAGAAGAGACCCGAGTTGATTAGTCTTGTTGAAGAGTTTTATCGAATGTATAGGGCATTGGCTGAGCGTTATGATCTTGTGACTGGAGAACTTCGAAAAAGTTTTCCATCTGATCTCCAATCTCAGGGCTCTGGAATATCTGACGTGGGATCTGAACCACCTTTCTCTATGCCATCTCCTGATCAAAAGCCGAGTCGCCGTTCATCCGATGCTGAGGCAGCTGGATTTGAATTCTTTCTTGGAACTGGCGGAACTGCCTCAGATGTAAATAAAGGAGACGATTCATCTACATCTGACTCTGAATCCGAATCGAATGATTCCTCCGTTAACAATTACTCGGGCACACAGAGCAATGATGAGGAACAGGAGTTGCATCGGAGGATTACTGAATTAGAGACTGAGCTTTTGGATGTGAAAGAAAGACTCAAGATGCAACAGAAAGAGATTTCTGAAGGCTCATTTAAGAAATCCGACTGTGAAAATTCCGAAGCTCTTGCTAAAGTAGTGGAATATGAAGAAGAGTTGAGGATTGCAAAGGAAAAGATTCGGCTATTTGAAGAAGAAAATAGTCGTTTGTTGATTGAGCTTCAAAAGTGTAAATCTCTTAAAGATGCTGAAGTGGAGCAAAATCAGGTCGGAGAGCTTCAAGAAAGCATCGATGGATCAAAAGCTGACGTTTTCGACCCAATGAACAAAATTCTGACACTAGAGGAAGAACTGAAAATTATGCAAGAGAAGCTTAATGAGTCGGAAAAGGAAGTTGCAAGCTTAAGGGATGAACTTGGGGGAAACAGGTCGTCTATTCAACATTTGCAAGATCAGCTTATATCATCACAAAAGGAGATCTCCATCTGGATGTTTAAAGTCGAGAATGAGAAAAGCGAGGTTTCAAAGCTTCAGGATCGAATAGAGAGCTATGAATCCTATCTAGCTGACAGAGATCTAGAAATCCGGGGACTGAAAGAAACAATATCAAATGCTAGCAAGAGCTTGTCTGAAGAAAATAAGCAACTTCAATCAGATTTAATTATAATGTCAAAGGAACGAACTTATTTGGAGATTAACCTAAAAGAGTTGGATTTACGCTGCCAATCCTTAGAGGAGAATGTCAGACGAGTTGAAGCTGGAAAAGCAGAGATTGAAGGTATGCTTGGAGCTCAAATTGAGCAGTTGCAGGCTGAAATTTCCAAGAAAAAAGACCACTTGGAAGAATTAAATAAAATTCTTGAAGCCTTAAAAGTGAAATACAACATGCTGAGGTCCGAGAAAGACAGTCTTGATGCCAAGATCGGCATACTTTCTGCAGAGATCGTTTCGAAAGATGATCAAATCGACCAAATGAAGAATCATTTGCATCAATTGCATATGGAGCATGTTGAATTGATTGTTGCAGCTGAAGGGGCACATAAACTGGCAGAGAAGTTGCGTACAAGAGTTAAAGAATTGGAAATGGAGGTGGAGAGAAAAGAAGAAGTTATTAAGGAAGGAGCAGAAGAGAAACGAGAAGCGATAAGGCAGCTTTGCTTATCACTTGAACATTATCGAAATGATTATCATTGGCTTCGTCAGGTTGTTAACAGTCTCAAGCGACCACCCATAATAGCATCCTAGTTTTAGTAACATAGAAACGTCACATTTCTTTGGCTTCTGCAAATCTTGTCTTGTCTGAGTCTGGTCTTAATAAACTGGTTTACTTCTACATTATCTGTTTTGTTTCGACAGTCCTCCTTTTGTTTATCTGGGTGCACGAATATCGCGCAAAATTAACATAGATTTGGTCGAATATATTTTATGGTTCCCACTCGTCCTTTGATCGAGGATTAATCTATCTATTGGATTGACTAGTGGTTGACATGGGCAAGAGAAAAAGTTTAGCGTTATGTTAATTATGCCCAGGATATCTGATACTAATTGTTGAAAATTCAAGGATCACGTATCGTTCAATACCATTTGATATGAAACCAATCACTGGATTGTGATGTTGAAGTTATATGACACAATAATGAAATATTTAATCATAAGCAAAAGAATATAAGAATATAAGAAAATATGGCAGATGAATTAGGAGATTTTATTTCACCAATAATAGTGGAGAAATATACAATTGATTTTAAAGTTCCAGTAATTTTTTTTTCACATTATGAAATTGTGTAAAAGAACCTAATATTTATACGAAACATGCAGAAGACGTCCAAACCCTCCCAGTAGAATTATTGATGAAGTAGAATGTCAAAAAATCAAGCCCAAAACAAAAAAGGACAGAAAAACGCGAAAAATTGAAAAATGTAGAGGTGGCATTGCGGCGGCACCTTCGAGTGCCTCGGCGCTCGGTGTTTTGCCGAAATTTTTTTTTTGTTCCAAGTATTTTTCTCCATTTCGAACTCTTCTTCAAATCCAATACCAATTTTCATCTCCTAATGTGCTACCAAAATAGAATTTCAACTTGACATAGGACCCCAATAACATTTCAAATTGAATTTTTCTTGACGTCCACTTCAATTAGTATTATTCAATTCTTCAACAAAGAATTTGGGTCATACCTAAATTCTAACAATTTCCACCTTGACACGAATTCCACTGAAACGAACAAAGCTCTAAAATGTTCTCTACTTGGTCGTCTGTAATGAATGAACCAACTCTTCAACAATAATCAAAACTAATTTCTCTAACCAAATACAAAATACTTTATCTCTTCCAATGAATCCAAGCACTACTCTGCAAAATTACCTTAGTTTTCCAAAAAATCATAATGATTTTAAAATTTACCAAACTGGGCTGTAACACACCCAAAAGCAGAATTAAATCCAAATGCTTTTAAAGAAGACGACTTGCTAGATTGTACACCTTCTACTACACTGAAAGTATCATCAACAAAATTAGCATCCGCATACCTTTTGCTACTGAGTCTGTCCCTAACAATTGAATACAATGGCACCACAGGTAATGGTGGCAAAGTGACATTATCTATATCTCCTGAACTCCATTGAGCAGTATTTTTTAAATCCGACCCTTTACGAGCTCCTAAATGTATTGTACCAAATTGAATGTCCACCACAGTACTGTACCTGTGCTAATTGACTCTTCTAGATTCTGCACGACCTTGCAAGATGTATAATTGAGATATTTTTTGTCCCTCCATTACAACCAGAGAACCCTTACAAACATTCAAAGCTCCACATCCAAAAGAATTCATAACTCTTTGAATCAAAGATAGACAACTAGATGAGATTCTTCTTCAAATCTGGAACATGTCGAACCAGGTCAAGTATTCTAATTGTCCCATCCAATAGTTTCAATCTAACCGTACCAATTCCAACAACCAGATAAGTTGTGTTGTCTCCCACAACCATGACACGTTTGGAAATAAGTCCTTATTAGGACACATATGAAACAAGTAAATAGGTCCTTATTATGACACATATGAAATACACACGCTGAATCCAGAATCCAATCCTCCACTGGTTTAGACTCGATGTTAGAAAAAGCCAATAGATCTCCCGCACTTACAATGTTCTCTGCGAGGTTTGCTTAACCTGAATTCTCTAATTGCTTTCCATATTGACTTGCAGCAAACCTTTCTTTATTCTGCAATTTGTAACAATCCTTCTTCAAGTGCCCCTTCTACTTGCAGAAATTACAAATCTGATTATTGAACTTAAACTTCGATATGTCCCTTCCAGAACCATCATGAGCAACCACTCCTTCTCCATCTTTGGCCTTCAAAACAAAATGTTTCATCTTCTCTTTTGAAAATAGAGCATGATATACCTCCCTATGGTAAGAGTATCACGACTACAGAAAATCGCGTCTCTAAATGAAGAAAACGAAGCAGGCAATGAACACAATAGGATCAAAACCAAATTTTCTTCATCATACGTTACTTCCAAAGTTTTCAAATCAGAGATGATCTCTTTAAACACAGTCATGTGATCTTCTAATGATCTTTCTTGTGCCATTTGATGAGAGTATAAACGCTGCTTGAGATGCAACTTGCTTGTCAGACTTTTAGTCATGCACAATTGCTCCAACTTCAACCATAAAACAGCTATTGAACCCTTCCTCAAAACGTCCTGAAAAATGGTATTCGATAGATGAATGTGAGAAATTGACTTCTTATCATTCCGTAATTTCTCTTCCGATGTCAAAATTGTGGACATCTTGTCTATTCCCAACAACGCATCATTCAAATCTAGTTGTGTGAGTACTATACACATCGTAACCTACCATAGCGAAAATCTAGTGCTCCGATCCAAAAGCGGAATGTCATACTTCATGGAAGCTATCACCAACAAAAATCTCAAACAAATCAAACATTGCGCTCTACGGAACTATTGAACCTAGGTTCTGATACAACTTGTTATGTTAATTATGCCCAGAATATATGATACCAATTGTTGGGAATTCAAGGATCACGTATCATTCAATACCATTTAATATGAAACCAACCACCGGATTGAGATGTTGAAATTATATGACACAATAATGAAGTATTTGATTTCAAGTAAAAGAATAAAAGAGGACAAGAAAATATGACAGATAAATTAGGAGATTTTATTGCACCAATAATAATGGAGAAATATAAAATTGATCATAAATTTCTAGTAATCTATTTGCTTACATTATGAAATTGTATAAAATAGCCTAATATTTATAGAGAACATGTAGGGGACGTCAAAACCCTCTTAGTAGAGTTGTTGATAAAGTAGAATACCAAAAAAATTGAGTCCAAAGTGAAAAATGAGAGAAAAATCGGAAAGGTACATGTGGCGCTAGGGGTGGGCAAAACCCAAACCAATCCACCTAAATCGCCTGAACCGATGCAAACCGATTTGGGTCTTTTTTTAAAATTTTATAGTTGGGTTGGGTTGGGTTTTGGCCGAAGAAGGCCGGTCAAGTTGGGTAGGTTCACGGGTTAATCCAAGAAAACCGATTTAGCCGGACCCAACCCAACCCGACCTACTTAGTTTAAAAAAAAAAAAAGACACAACTCCATTCCAAAAGGCAGAAGTCACGGGACAAAAGAGTTACAAAACACAATTACACAACCCTAACCTAATAATCTTCGTCCTCCTCTCTCGCTCTCACAGTCCAACTTCACTCGACATCGCCTCTCTTATTTTCTCACCAAGAAATGATAAAGTATTTTTTTGTAAATTTCTTAATTGATAAAATTTGTTGGTGAAAATCTTTTATAACTTTTGCACTTTAAAATTTTGATGAAGTTGTACTAAGTATCTATGATTATTCTAAGTTTATAATTTAACTTGTGGTTATGCTATTAAAAAGTTTTTGTAGTGAATTTTTGATTAATCTTTCTCATTTCTTGTTAATCTTTGATTTGAAAACAAATACAGTTTTAATTACAGGTACAAGATGCTTCTATTTTCTTTCTTTAACATTTGTTATTTATGTATTTCATGTGGTTGATAAATTTTTGTTGTCGAAATATACTTTTATGATTTTTAATGTCCAAACTGACCAACCCAACCAAATCGATTTGGTTTGGAACACATAAACGGGTTGGGTTTGTTTGATTTTTGATCAAACCGATCATATTGGGTGGGGTAAAAAACAGATCCAACCCACGCCCGTGGCGCCGCGACGCCCGAGCATTTTGCCTAAAAAAAAAAAAAAAATTCTTTTTTCCTTTTTTTTTTTTCGTTCCAAGTTGTTTTCTCCATCCTGAACTCTTCTTCAAGTCCAATGCCAATTTTCAACTCTCAATGGATATTCGTGCAAAACCCGCAAGCGTACGGGATCGTTGACAAATAATAGAATTGATGAGTTGAGAGTATCGTCTCATAGCGAATAAATTTAATTTAAATTTACTAACTTTATATGGGATTCGAATTATATAAACAAAAGAGAGTTTGATTTTATTTTATATTTAATTAATCTAAAAAAAAGTAAAAAAATGTTTTGTATCAAATTATGGATGATTGTATTGAATTTCGAATCCGCCCATTGCTATCTATTTCAATTCTTGATTTGTAATCTAATTTCGTTCATGCGTTCTTGACAATCGATAATTCTATTGTAATTAATTCTCTTTTCCAAGATAAATTAAATCTATTTTAATCAAAGCCCGACTCCGTTCCTAGCCCAAATTCGAATGATTAGAATGTATTAAAGTTTAGATTATCTATATGATTGCACATGTGATAAATGTTATTCCTAATATTTATTGCACATATGTTAATTTTATCGCGTTCTAAACTTATTATGAGTCTCCCAACACTACAATAACCAACTAATTATCTAATAGGTAACCAATCAATTAAAGAATGCAATGAGTATGCAAAACTAATCAAGAAACGCGATAAATAAAATAAATTACTAGTCTTAAATTAAAACAAATAAACAAATAGGGTTCATTTTCATCCAATACAAAAAGGATCTAGCCTAGTATATTAATATATAAATTACAAGAACAATAATAGAAAAATATGACCCGAATCATGAAAGAAATCAAAAGATGTTGATCTTCAAGCTCAAAGTTGAATTCTTCAAAATTTTGATGTGATTGACATTCAATTCTTTGCTAGGATTTGATTTCCTCTCTCAAAATATAGCAATTGACCTCTTATTCTTGATGAAATTTATGAAACTAT